ATTTAGAATTTATGAAAATGATGTTGTTGTAGACCCTAAAATGTTTATTATAATTGATTTTTATACTATTTGACTAGTGAGTTCCTAAATCGAACATAAGAATTTTAAGTCATGAAATTAAATCAGGAAATACTTACTTAGTCTGGCTAATTCGGAAAAGCAGTAAAGATTGACGTGCTGGCGAGCGACCCGAAAGTTGTAACGTGCAAAAATGTAAATAAATCAATAAAAGATGGGCGGGCAGCGGTAACAAGCGGCGAGTGCTGTCAGTGCGCTGGTGAGCGGAGCACCAAGGATGGCAAATGAACGATATACACATATGTGAGAGATGACTGACGAGCGGTGGAGGATAGTGATAGTGTGTAAATGAGCAATAATAAAACAATGATAAGAATGTACAGAGATGTTGATGTGTGATATGTGCGTTCCAAAATGGCTAGATTTTCATAGATGAAATGAGTGAATGTTGAAAGTGAAACAACAAAACATATATGTATAATGCGAAATGACATAAGTAATGTATGTGATCATACTTGTTTATTGAAATCAGATTCTTAATTCACTGGTATTTGACTTTAAGAATTTATAACAAGACTTCAATGACATCCAGATTCAGAACATTATAAGCAATAAAAGCTAGTGTCACTAGACATTTCTGAGACCCGATAGACAAGTGTCTATGTTCAATTAGTCATTCCAAAATCTGTTTTATTAGTGACTTTACACTTATGTTACCTCTCTTTAATCAAAATTAAATTCAGAACAGTAATTAAGCAGGTCGACAAGACACCTTCGTACGTAATTAAGTTAAACTACCTAAAATCTGTTAATGAATACGACACAAAATTAGACTTTGATAATCAATTATTTTGAAGAACTTTCCACAATTAGTTAAAATTTCTGATTTAAACAATCAAATACAAACTTGGAATTTGAGGATGAAATTGGAGATGAACAAATCATGATATTCATTTATAACTATGAAAAATGTAAATCTACATTATGAAAAACATAAACAAAGAATTAATCTCAGAGCTGTAAAGCTGCCTAGAAAGCAACTAAAATTGGGCGGTTAGGGGATGAGAGAATCTGCACTCCCCGACCTCCTCTAACTAAGAAAACTTATTTACAGGATTGGAGCTTTCGGAAAACAAACAGAGTATAAGGACAATTTGTATATCACTATGGATATGATATTTTACAAATAAAATTTGGCTCTATTTATAGAGTTTCTAGATCGGCAATTGACAGTAGTTAAGCGGTTACATAGTAGCAGTTGAGAGCAATTGAAATGTTGTTGCAACTATTGGACAGTTACACAGTTAGTTGGTTGATCGGTTGGAACTACCCTAACTCCCAACTTGCTTGCTCGCTTGTGGAACTGCAGTGGCTGGGCACAAATCTTCCTCACTTACCTTGCTAGACTTGGCTTTGGTTGAAGGACATCTGCACAACTCAAATGAGGCTATCATCATTGTCCGGTAATAGATGGCTGACCGCTGGGAGATCAATACTTTAACACTTCAGAGAACTTATGCATCTCCGCTCGTCACCGGTGTATGTTTGGCTGGTTGGTTCGGGCGCAAGAAGAAAGAGCATCACTCACTACAACTAACTGCACTCTCGCTCGTGTTCTCATACTGAGGCATTTCTGAGCTAGAACATAGCTTACAATGGCTAAAAACATTAATAATCTTCGTAAGCAGACTTTGGATCGAAACAAATTAATAAAGTATGCCACAAAATCAATTATTGTGATGTTCTCACATAAAAATTAAGAAAATATATATTTTATTTGGGGTTATCATTTGTACTATTTTTTACGTAGTCTAAAGTCAATTCATGTATGAGTTAACATAGACTATAATATTTATAACAATAATTATAATTCTTTTTATTGTTAAAATCAATGTGAGATAAAATTTCATTTTATTTTGCGTAAACTATGTAAAAAAAATTGAAATATACAGATATTGATAGTTATGGTTCTTTTTTTTTTTTAAAAAAAAAGTAATATGGTATAAAATATATACTTGTAAATAATTATTACTGTCACATAGTTCTATAAAAACTATAAAAATATGTATTATTAAAATTTAAAAATGTGATTGTAATAAAAATAATTAATTTAATATTACTTGAATCGTAAATTCAATGTCAAACATTAAATATATATATATATATTTTTATCATAGCCAAGATCTGTATAAATTAATATAAATTTTAAATATAATTTTTTTTTTAAAAAAAAATAATGTCGAAAAAAAATAAATTCATAAATAATTATTAGTATGACTCACTGTTATATATGAACCAATTAGAACAAAAATAAAATAAAATTTCAAGTATAATAGAAAATTTATAACTCTTTTTTATTGATAGAAGCAATATGGAACAAATTATTGAATTTGTTTCACTTTGTATTTTTGAATAGATGTATTTTTTACGTGGTATCTAGAATTATATTGATAAATATAAAAAATATTAACATTTGTGTTAAATTATTGATTTTTCTAAATGAATAAAATATATATTATATAGTATTATGCTAACTGTGTATATTATATTTTTTTAGTAATTAGTATAGAAACTTCACTTAAAAATATTAAGAAAATAAAATCATCATTTTATTTTATATAATATGATAATAAATTTTGACTGTTTATTGTTGAAAGCAACACGATATCAAAAATAATTTAACAAATAACTATTGATATGAACCATTAAAATTTTAAAAATATATCATTTTAATTTTAATCAAAATAATTAATTCAAAATATTATTGGATTATTGATTTATTTATTTCAAAAAATACAATCTGTATATGGCCCAAAAAATTAGAAATTATTTTTTATTTTCATATGTTTTTTTTTTTTTTTGTCTAAAATATAGTCCAATTCATTATTATTAATATATATATATATAACACAAACAAATAGTGTAATATTTTATTATTATTTTTTATTTTTATTTTTATGAAGAAGAGTGCAATCTATTATTACTAATATGTATAAGGATCACATAATATTCTAATCAATAAAAAATTAGAAAAATAAAATTTTAAAAATTAGTATAGTACAATATACATTATACATTATTCAAAAATATATATATTAATATTAATATATTATAAACTAAGTTATGGTAATTATATATAAATAAATAATATTTATTTGTATTATTCAAAATTTTATTATTGAATAAAATTATGTTCATATTCAATATATTTTTATTAAAACAAATTCTTTTAACTCTTCAAAATACCTATGTTAAAATTATTTTTAATCAAATATATATTTTTATAATAAAATATTATTTTTGTTCATTAAGATGACTTCTTTTCATTTTTATTCCGTTTCATATAGATGATCAATTTCTATTTTTAGTAAATTTAATAATCTTAAATATATTTAATAAAAATAAATTAATTAAATTAAAGTTCAATCTTCTTATACATTGGATTTATTCAAAATCCTTTCATTTCAAAATCTCTCCTCAATAAATAAATATTTTTATTTATATTTAAAATTTTTATCGTTTACAAAATTAGTTCATATTAATTATAAATAAACAATATATATTTTTATTTAATTATATTACATAAAACTTTGTTCTTTATAAAATAATATTTATATTATATATTTTATTAAGATACAATATTTAAAATATTTAAATAAATATTTATTTATTTAATCACATTTACTACTAAATTTTATTTTAAAAATACTAATAACATCATTTGTATAAAAAAATAAAAAAATAATATCATAATTATTATAATTAACTTATTACATTACCTCAAATATTATATTCATAACCAAAGATGTCATGCACAACTTACAATCAAAGAGTATTTATTAGTTTACTTTAAGAGTGTGTTTGTTCGGGTATTGGATTTTAAATTCATTATTCATCCAATTTTTTTTCCAAAAAATCAAATTAAATATCTATTTTTTATTTTTTATATTAATTAATTTTATATTCAAAACATTACATCAATATCTATTTATATCACATCGTACAACTATTTAAATTCAAACTTTTTACTATTCAAATCTCAATTCAAAATCCAAACCCCCGAACAAACACACCTCACAAATCCAATTCCTAATAAAACCGCACTTTAAATATATAATTAGTAATAACAATAAGTTGGCTTAAGGGTGTGTTCTTTTGATAGATTTTGACAAAATTTCACTGTTCATTTAAATTTTTTTTTTCAAAAATATCAAATCAAACATTTATTTTTTTATTTTTTATATTATACTAAAAATCAATTTTACATTCAAAACATCATATCATCACCTATTTATATCACATCATACAACTATTCAAATTCAAAATTTTTATTATTCAAATCCCAACTCAAAATCCAAACCCTGGACAAACACAGCCTGACAATGCCCTTTTTCATATTCTATTGCTCCTAATATACATATACCAATATTGGACACGTTCAATTTCTTTTTTATTTTAAAAAAATAATGAAATGATTGCGGTGTGTTTCTTTAACTAATATTTTTTTTTAAAAAAAAAACAATACACTTTTTCATCTAATACTCCTTTCATCTTTTTAACAATCTATTTATTTTTTTTATTTTGGTCCGTCTCATAACAAAATATCCGTTTCTTTTTTTAGTAATTGTATTATCTAATTAACATTACAAATACTCTTGTAATTTACAATATATTATATAAATATCATTACCTTTATATCATAGGATTAATTTAGTTTTTTACTTTTATTTCTACTTTATTTGGATAAATAGATTGGAGATGGAGGGAGTATAATATTTCATTAAATATTATTTTTAATACTAAATTCAAATTTATTTTTTTCAAACTCAATAAAAACGAAACACACGTTACAAACAAGATACACAGTATAAATGTAAAATATCAAAATATAAATTAATTAAATGAAATACCACTGGATTGGGCTGGGCCTAAATAAATGTAAGTAATTGTTGGACCGATTCAGTTAACCCAAATTGTTGGACCGATTCAGTTAACCCAAATTAAAATTCATTAGGGTTTGGAGGAGGTCGAAACATAACATATCATTGATATCATAGCAAGCAGCGACGCCGCCCTACTCTGCAGCTCTAGCTTCCTCCGTCTTCCGAATTCTGGTGCGCCCCCTCTGCTCTTTTCTGCTGCTCTCGCGTACGTTGTTGTCGTTCTGTAACTCTGTAATTGCACGTATGGTTCATCTGCTTATGTGGTTTTTGTTTCGGGCTCGATGAGAGTTGTGCAGCTGGTTAAACTTTAACTGTTTAGAAACTCTCGATTTTTTAGGCTTTTTCTTGGTGTTCTGGTGTGGTAATGACTGGTTTTTTCGGGTGAAAGTTATTAGCAAATGTTAAAGTGCTGGTGGCTCTTAATATATATATATATGTTTTGATTCCAATTAATAAAAATTGATAAGCATCCATTGTTTGGTGCCATATTCAGGCTGTGGTTTGGGATTGTTTATATTTATATTTATTTTTTTTGGTTCAAATTCGTTTTGGTAGATTAAGAAATTTCTGGTGCAAATCGTTGTAATTTGTTGCATTAGGTTCTTCATATTTTGTGAGTTCTAAAAGATTCAGTCAAGATGCAGAACGAGGAGGGGCAAAACATGGATCTCTACATTCCCAGGAAGTGGTGTGTTTAATATATAAATATGTATATATATATAATTATATTATATATGTGTATCAATTTGTCATTTCCTCCCTTTTTTTATTTTACTAATGAGTGCATATGACCCTTGATTAGAACTGATTGTCCTGTAATTTTTCCCTTGATGCAGCTCCGCCACAAACAGGCTGATTACTTCCAAGGATCATGCATCTGTGCAGATCAATTTTGGGCATTTGGACGAGACTGGTCGTTACACTGGCCAATTCTCCACCTTTGCTCTTTGTGGTTTCATTCGTGCCCAGGTAAACAATGCGTACTGTCCTCTACTACCACTCTATTGCCTGTATTACTCACAATGCATAAACCAGAACTGGTAATTATTTTATTTGTGTGTGAGTTTATCAAATATACATATGCATCAGTTGTGTTTTTTTTTTTTGTCCAAACCCTGCATGCCAGGAGGTTCGTTTGTGCATTACCTTGTATTTATATCACATGTAGAAATAAGATTTATCTGCATCGCACTGTGGTAAATTTTTTGCTAGAAATAGTTGGAACGGAACGGAATACAAAATGACTATGTTGCAAAGTAGCCTTATAAAAAAATCTGCTTGAATGAGTTTAGAATTGTTTGAATGGTGTAAAAAATGCAGATTTAAATTAAAGGTTGTGACGACTTCTTAATAAATAGATGGCACTCCGTTGATGTATTATTTAGTATATCTTTATTCTTTCGCATTCAATGTTACAGGGGGATGCTGACAGTGCACTTGATAGGCTCTGGCAGAAGAAGAAAATTGAAGCCCGACAACAGTGACCAACCAGTCGGGTATAAGTTCTCATGGTTGGATGATCTGATCTGGATCCCCATTATGTTTTATTTAAGGATTTTGGAATGCAGCTTTTGTGCTGTGCTAACATTTCGAATTTGCACTTAAAGTTTTGGAGGCTCTTGATGGGTTGTGTTGAGGTGGCTTCCAAAATAAGTATATTTCTTATATGATATGCAATTGAAGTTTTGGTCATGCAGCAACATTTTTTCTATGTAATCTTTTCGAATTCAATCTGTTACGTGGGCATGGGGTGAAGAAAGTGCATCTTCCTTGCAATGGCCTGTATGGGAGATTGGTAACTTGACAATTAGAACATGTTATTAGTTTCAATCATATCTAGCAAAAAAATTGTTGTGTATGCCAAAACTTATACGATATTAGAAGCTGTTTTATGATAATTTCATCGAATTCTATGTCTTTCGTTTGATTTTATGAAACCTTCACTTAAAATGTTAATCCTCAAAACGATATTGGATTTGGTCTTGAGGTAACTTAGGGTAACAGTGAGCCGAGAACATTATTGAGTTCATACTGAGGGGATGTCAAAAGCTGCTACCTGGCAAGGAAAGAAGGTATGTCTTTGTTCAAACATTATTAGATTACTATTGTTGTTATATACTTGTATTGTAGTTTATACTTAGTTGCATGACTTCTATGTTAGTTAGATTTTTTTCGAAGGCTTGGCATCAAATCTATTAAATCCCAGATGCCTTTTACTTTGTCTGTTTCTGTTTGGATTTAGTTATCATTTGTTGTGTTCATTCCATTCGTTTTGTTAAGTGTTCTTGAACCCAACATTTGAATAAGCTGTAGGAATAAACACCATTGTTGCCTTCTAGCTAGATCATGGTTCAATTTGTTCCACAATTTTTTTGTAGTCTCAGTTTGCTAGTTTTATTTTATTTTGTTTTTTTCGAAAAACTGATTTCAAATTGAATTTGGAATGAGAGATTCTTCATGATCAGACCTTCTTGATTGCATCACACGGTATGTGAAAGTGTATTTATTTGCATTATTGTAAAGAACAGAATTAAATAAAAGTTAAGAAATCTATCTGTTTTCCAAAAGAAGCATACATGAAAAGAGAACAGTAACATATTTGTTGTGGGAGCAATTTTGATAGATACAGCAACAAAACTTGGTGCTGGATTTCATCAAATTTTATTTTCCATGTCATGTCTTTTTCATAGTCATACTTCCACATCTATTCATGACATCTATGCTTCTTTACTTCTCTCTTTAACATATTTGTTGTTAAATGTAAGTTGTTAGATGTGTGCTTATTTAAGACAATTAGTAGGATAAAGTAGTAAAAATAGGTTGAAAAAACTTGGGTAAACAAATAGGTGATGTTTTAATTGATATATATTTCAGATTATTTGACAGCCTAGAGTTAATTTGGAATCCTTGTAAATGATTTTATATCAAAGGGTGGGTGGTGTTTGATGAAAAACTGAAAAGAGGAAACAGACTAGTGCAGTGCAGTGGGGTTTATAATAAGTTAAGTTAGGTTAGGTGTCAAAGCACTATTCTCTCACTACCCTACCCCACCCCACCCCCCCTACCTTACCCTACCCCACCCACTGCTTTCCTTTATGTAGAGGATTTGCTGTACTTATACAATCATGCTCCACTTTACACTTCACACAATAGCAATAAAATTTAGTAGTATTATTGCTTGTAGGCAATTTGGAACGAGTGTAATGTATGAATGAGAAAGTGTGTAGTTGTAAAGTAAAGTAAAGACTATAACATAACTAAACTGACCACAAAATAAATAAATAGGGTTTTAGTCAGAGACTGAGACGTGTTGCTTCTTTCATTGCCCCTCCTCTCTTTCATAAAGAAGCTTTCTTCTTGCTTCTCTCTCTCCCTCTACTCATTGCTCATTACTTTGGTTTTTTAATATATAAATTGATAAAAAAAAAAAAAAAGAAAAAAAAAAGAAAAGCATAAATCGTTCAACACAAATGAAAGATAGATCTTCTTCCTCAAGGGATGGTATCTTCGTCTCCAAAATTATACATTTTCTCCGTAGTTGTCATTTTTTATTTTCGTTCATCTCAAAATAAAGTTATCATTTCTTAATTTAGTAAATTTACACTATTACACAAATGTCATTTTTATATTATATAATATTAATAGGGGTATTTTTACCTTTTTCACTATAATTTATTATAATATTAATATTAAAAAATTTACATGCAAAAAATAAACGGCAAGATAATTCTGTGATATGAAATTGTACAAAATTCTCTCTATACTTCTAAAAGTGCCTCACATTTTTTCGAAAAGGTATTTGAATGTTAAAATTTCAATTTTTAGATTCTTAAAATTACAAATATATTTATTTTTTTTATATTATCCTTAAAAAATAATAAATATATTAAAAATAGTTATTTTTGTTAAAGTTTATTTTTACTATTTTTTAAAGTAAATATAAAAAAATAAATATATTTGTAATTTGAGGTTTAGAAATTGAAATTTTAAAATTGACGTACTGTTAAATAAGAAGGTTGACGCAGAATTTATAAAATCACAGGAGAATTTCACGCAATTTTAGAAGCACCGTGCCCCCCCCCCCCCAACATAAGCCATGAAATAAGGCCATAAAATAAACAAATTATTCAAGAGTTTAGTTCCTTTGAATTTGTTAAAGAAATTCTTTCGTTATCCTAAATAAGTCAAATACGAGCACATATTTATATTTTAACATATTATGTTCTCGTACGAATTCAACTTTGTTTGTAAACATACGATAATATTAAATTAATATTTTGATGTTTAATGGAATATATGTTTTATGATTGTACTTAACTATATTTTTTTGTATAAATTTAAATTATAAATAAAAGAATTTCTTAACCACTCAAGTCAGCTAAATATGAACAAAAAAATAATTTAATGTATACTTCATACTTCTCTTTCTGTCTGTTAGTTAAATATATATATTTTTATTTATTTGTATTATATAAAATGATAGCTATATTTTATATGTTTTATTAAAATATAATGTTAGAACTATTTAAAATGACAACAATATCATTCATATAAAAAATAATATTACTATCTAAAATACTGTATATCTAACCAAATGAATTATCTGACGAAGAGACAAGTATCTTTTAACAAATGAACCGTTTGAATCTTTAACAAGTTAAGTTTAAATATAAAAAGACTTGATTAAGTTCAGTGAAACTTGAGCCAAGACAACTGAGTGTGCTTCTTTTTGTTATTTGATATTTTGATATAATATTTTATAAGATTAAAAATTGTATAGAAAAAAACACACTTAATATGTGTACCTTCAGATTTTGTTTGTGTATTTAGTTATTTTTTATAGTATTTATTTGTAAATTTTTTAAAACTCCATAATATCCATAGAAATAATTGATTTGATTGAAAAAAATATATTTATTTCGTCCCAATTTATTTATTTATTTTACTAGTTTTTTATGTTTTGTATTAAAATAGGAAATAATAATATGTAAGAAGTTTTGAAATATTGCTTAATTTATATAAAATTTAAAATAATATTTTGATATTAATAAGTGTTTATTTTACTTAGAAGGGAAAGAGTATATGTGAATTTGTACATGGAACTTGCTATTGTATATTTGGCACAAATCCAAGGTGTGTTCGTTTGATATATATATATATATATATATTTACAATTTAATTTTGTATTTTGATATTTTGAAGTAAAATAAGTGTTAAATATTGGATGTCATTTTATAAAAAAAAATAATAATAAGACATAGTAAAAAGAATTACTAAAAAAATGGTAATTAAAAAAAATGATAATTTAAGTTTAATATTGTATATACTCACGGTTTATTTATATCAAATTTTACTATTAATAATTTTTTATCATTTTTTTTCAAAAATATTAAATTAAATAAATTTCTTTAATCATTTATAGTAAACTATATGCAAAGTGGTGGAATTCAAGGTTATTCACTATAATCAGCAGCATACTGATTTATTATGAGTCGTTAGATTGCAAAAATTAATCTAATAGTTTGTATTATTTGAGATGTATAAATGTTATTTTAATTTTCCTTAATTTATATAACTGCTTCTCTTCATTCTCGTGTATATTAACATTCAACTAAAAAACAGAGTAACATCTTTCAATTAATTGATGAAATCGATAGAAATGAACTAAGTTTATTTATCATTATTCCAACCTCAATTAATTTTTCAAGAAGCAACAGAGATATCGAAGAAATTCGAATTTCAGATATTTCATCTCATTCACTCAAAAAAACTTATTAGTTTCATAATTTTTCAAGATTCAGAGAGAACTAAATTATTAGAATCTCGTTTGCATATGTTAAAATTTTAGATAGTATGTATTAACAATCGTTTTTTTACCAAAATATATAAATTACTGTTAATTAAAATAAATTAGCATCCAGTTCCGTTGAATTTTGCATTTACGTGCTCATGAAAAGTATTTCATATTATATTATATAAACCGATACAAAGCAAAACATTTTTTAAACTATGTGACAACATTTTAATATTCTATAGACAATATAATGTTTGTTGTTTTTCAAAATCATTATAATATATTATTCAGTATGATATCAATTGTTAACACGTTCTTGTCCCCTACTCTTCCGATCACCACCTCCACCATTCTTTACCATTACCGCCGCCTTCCGCTTAATCCTCTCATACTACTAGAACGACAAACTGTCATCCACCATCGCGCTCAATACCAACGTTCTACCATCCATCAAAAGTGACTTTCCACCCATCAACTAAGCATATATACTCTCCCGGAGAATGGAGAACACCACCAGGACAGTGGCGGCAAAGGCGATAGCGATGATGGTGGAGACAACATCGGCATAAACAACAAAATGAAGGGCTGCAAATAATTATTCTAGGAGAAATTCTAATTGGATAAAATAAATTTGACAAAATGACAATTTCACTTCTATTTAATTTACACCATCAATTTTATATCAAATCTAATTAACAACTGATATTATATCAGCACCATACTGATGGATGTGCCCATAAGTAGGCGATCTACGATCATATCTAAAATTTATGTTCAAAATATTATATTAATGATTTTGTTGCTTTAAATTTTTTTAAAATTTTTTTTTTAGGACTATAGATTTTTTTAAAAATAATATTACATTAAATATTATTTAACTAAAGAAATATAGGATTTGTTTATTTATTTATTTTTTGATTTAGGTATATATATATATATTTTTATGTGAAATATAAAACATTGTACAAGTTATATAGAAATAATAATTTTATGTTAAAGATTAATTTTTGTAAAATTGATAAAATATATTCTCCCTCTGTCCCAATACAATAGTCATGTTTACAATTTTTGTCCGTCCAAAAATAATAGTTTCATTTCCATAAATAACCATATCACTATAAAACTACCCTTACTTTTTTATCATTATTACACAATTGTCACTACTTTTTACACTAATAAACTCACAAGGGCAAAAAAGTTTTTTATCCGTACTTTTTATTACTACCAATATAATATCAATATTCCTTAAATTTCGTGCCAAACACAGTCCAAATTATAATTTTAGAACGGCGGGAGTAATATATTATGGATACTGAAAATCATATCAGCAAAAAGATAACCAAAAGAACAAATCCATAAATTTTCAAATTCAATCCAAACTAAAAATTAGTACAGCCAAACAACAGAACAAACATAGCCAAACTAATTCAAGGTTGTATTATAATTAGACTAAACCGGACAGCCAAAAATGAGAATAATTACACATGAGGAAGTATATATATTTTTAAAAATATTTAAACAAACTATCAATACTATTTTACACAATATATGGATCAAACTATCAATACTTTTTTAAAGAATAAACTTCTTATTTTATCTAATTAATATGTTAAAGTCAAATATTTTATTTTATTTTTAATAAAAATCATTATAAATTATATATCAACTTCCATGTAATTTTTTATTATTTAATTTTAATGTTAAGAATAAAATAAATATAAAACTAATATATCAAAATCAAAATTTTTCTTTTCCTTTTGAAGTAAAAATATTATTAAGTAAATATTACTAAAATACATCCATTTTTTAAGGTTTATATTATTTTTTCTTTTAATATTAAAGATAAAATAAATATTATATATACTATTTTATTATATTATTTTATTTTATTTAAAAACCTAATCTACTAATAACTGGACTAAACATTACTATCTAGAATACCGTATGAGTGACCTCAACTAGTCCGGAAGTATATACTTTGTGACAATTTTAATAAATTAATTAATTATGGTCACATTACAATGCAGCCATTGGGATTCTCATCACTGAATATTTCAAAGGAATCCAACGGCTGCCGTGGATTGTTGGACTCCAGATCCAACGGCGGCAGATGAGTTTCGGGGCGGGCGTCGGCGTGCATGTACCCGTAAGACGCATAATACGGCGGTGCGTAATACGACGTCGTAGGGGTAGGGTTCGCCGTGTTGTAGCTCACGGCGTAGACCGGAGGTGGGGTATAGTAGGGGTATAGGGGTTGATGACGTGCCAGGATTTCATTGGCTGGTGCAGGCGGTGGTTGCGCTGGACCGGGGACCTGATTCTCTGCTCCACTCGCGGCGGAGCGGTTACCACTTTGCCCTTTCTTCTTCTTCTTCTTCTTACCTGACGCGCCGCCGCCATTGCTGCTTTCCTGCTCCGTCGCCTCTGCCTTCTTTTCCTTCTTCTCCGCCGCGTTAGGTGTCTCTCCGCCGTCGATTTCCTTGCCGTCGTGTTTCGTTTCTTCGACTTCGGTTGAAGAGCTCACTTTCGTCGTCGGAGCATCGGTAGCGGTTGGTTTAGCAGTATTCGTGCCGTCGCCGCTTTCGCCGGAATCTGATTTGGCAGGCGATTGGACACCTTTCGCCGATGGAGTCGGCTCCGTCGGGTTGGAATCCGGCGGAGATGGATGATCGGAAAGGATCTTTTTCTTCTCCGCCTTTTTTCCGGTAATACTTTTGTCGGCTTTTCCGTTCTCCGGCTGTGGCCATAACTGAGCGTGCTTGCCGGATTTAGCCAATTTCTTAATCAAAGTATCGGCGTCGACGGCGCCGGCGACCGTAACCTTTTGCTGCCGCGTATCGACGTCGACATCTTCTACGCCTATCAATTGAACAGAACAGTGAGTAAATTCAGTGAACCGTAGAACACAATAAATCAGGCCTCTCTCTCTCTCTCTATATATATATATGTATAGACCTGGAAGTTGGTTTAGGATTTTCTTGACTTTCTTCTTGCAGCCCTCGCAGTGGATGGATGCCTTGAGGACGACGACACAGAGATTCTAGAAGAATCAATCAATTTCATCGAAAAGGTCAGTACATATTTCGTTTCTAGAGATGCTTTCTTTAATTTGCAAGTGATTTATTATTTACTTGCCTTGCGTTGGATGGGTTGGGTGTTATCTTCAGCCGCCGTTTCCGCCATGGATGCGTGTTACTTGTAGTGCAGTAGAGAGAGAGAGAAGGGGGTTTGGGTGACTGGGGGGAGAGAGAGAGAATGAAATGCAGAGAAGAACGATGGGAGGGAGGAATTTAAAAAAGGGAAAGGCGAAATTAGTGGAGATGGCAAAAATCACTTTTAGGGTTTACTTAATTCTCATCCCTATCTGTCTTAGTTCCATTATTATTATTATATGTTGTTAAACCCAAGGTTGAAGAAAGCACTGAGCCATAAAGCAAAAGAAAAGAAAAGAAAATACACAGAGAGTGGGCTCAAAATGAGTCAGATTGTGTAGACCAGGATGTATTTATTCATACCCATCCCCTTCAAAACCGATCTTTTTACATGCAAACTAAAAAAAAACAAAAGAATAATAACCATATACTGTTACTACATACATAACACACACACAGTATTAAAATTTCAAAATCTCCCAACCAAGACCTAAAAATCAAAGTCGCCCATGTCGTCCATGGCGTCGCCGTACCCATCGGCGTACGCCGCCGCGTCCCCAATATCCGACGCCATTTCTCCGACCAGCAGCCCGCCGAGCAGCCCGGCGCCCAATCCCAACCCCAGCCCGCCGCCCATCCCGCTCTTCTTCGGCTTCTGCGGCTTGTAATTGTACCCCGCCGCCGCCGGCTGGTACCCGTGGGGATGGTATCCGTACTGATAACCGCTCGTCTGTGGATACGCCGCCGCCGGAGGATACCCCGCCGGCGCCGGCGCCGGATATGCCGTCACTGGCTCATCCCCGCCGTGCTTCGCCGTCGCCGGCGCCTGATGAGTGAATTTCTCCCCGAAACGGTAGGAGAACTTGAGGGAGCCCTTGGGCTTTCCGGAGGCGGTGACGACGGGGTAGACGACGGTCCGGTCGGCGTCGGCGGTGGCGGAGCGGAAAAGGTCGTCGATGGGGACGGTGACGGTGCCGATGAGCTTGTCGCTTTTGAGAGTGCTCTCGGCCATGAGGCGGAAGAGGAGGGAGAGGCCGGGGCGGGTCAGGTAGGGCTCGTCGACGACGAAGTCGACGGGGAAGTTCCATTTAGGGTTTGTGCCGGAGTTCTTGTCGACGGGCGTGACCTTCCGCGACTGCGGGTAGCCGGCGAGGGACACGTCGGCGTAGACGTCCATCTTGGACAGCAGCTTCACGTCCTTTATGCCCTCCGCCGACACCACCGTCACGTTCAACCGGCGATACTCCATTGTAATTGTTGTAATGATCTCGAATGAGAAATTGAAGAAGAAAGGCGATCAATCGAAAATCTGAAATTGAGGGAGGGGAGGCATTGTGGGGGGCGGATTTATAGGGAGGGAGATAGTCAATGGAGAAGGCACTAGGAAAGCGGGATGGATGGGATCAAGATAAGATTAGATTCGGGGGGTGGGGGGCAGCCCGGCCGACGATCGATCAAAGTGCGGCGGGCATTGCATTCCAAGTGGTATCTGCCCGCCTGCCCGGCATCGAATCATCTGGACTGTACGCGTAAATTAAATTAAATTAAATTACAATACATTGACTTTCTTCGTGGTTCGATGGAATGGTTAGTTATATGTTGTCCTAATCCTGTGGAACCTTCCACACATATTTGACCGTATTTAATTAAAAATGGTGTCCGTATCGGATCCGTGTGAGGTGCGCGTGCAAACTGGCCATTCATGTCATCGCCTCACGTCAATATATATATATATATATAAGTAAATTACTTAAGAGAATCTCATATACTCCTGTTCAAGGCACCCGGCCCGGCCCATTTAAGCCCAGACTTAAGTCTAAGACGAACCCATCTGAGTTGGACTGAAGAGAAATATATTGGTTCCAAACACTTCACTTCAATCCTCAAACAAACAATAAGAGTAAAAATGATTTTTTAGTCCAATTTAATATCATATTTATTATTATTTTTATTTTATCAATTTTGGTCTAAAAATGATAATTATAATTTTAAATAGGATAAAATTTTGCTCAAACAATCAATAGCACCAGAATATTCACGATTCACGAGTGCAATCTGAATGTTATAAGTAAAATATCAAATCACTTAGACACACTGCTAGCAGATAAGCACAACACAGCACACAAAGACATTTATTTTTTAAATTATTAATTAAAATTATTACTAAAAAAAATTACAATTGCTATAAATATTAAGTATTATAAGAATGACAAAGTAAAAATATTAATTATTTTAATCATTAATCATTCTTATGTATTTAATGTATATAGTATGTAAGAATATTTAATATATTTATATATATATATAGCATATGTGGGTGCATATAATATGTATATATATATATATAAATATTAGAGCAATTCATCCGAATACAGAGAGATACCGGTAAACCGACGGATAGACTTTATAGATTTTGATTTCAATGTGTAATTTCAAAGTAAATCAATATAGCTATTTAGAAGATCGGTAAATTATATAACACCCTTTGTATTTTAATAAAAATGCACAAAACATCGTGTTTTTTATTTATTGCGTAAAACTCCTTTATTTTAATGTAAAGTTCGCATTAAACATAATTTTTGTCCAAAATTGATATTCGGTTCTAAACAAAGACCTAAATTACACAAATTTTATATAAATAAAAAATATAAAATATGTTAAATAAGTTTTTTGAATAAAATAAATAAATAAATAAATAAATAATTCTTCATTTTATACTTTTTAAAGACAAATTGTTATCTGATTTTTACAAAAATTGTAAAAATAAATGGGTAAACTATTTTTTTGTCCAGTAACTGAACCCCTTTACCATTTTAGTCCCGTAAGTGGAGCATGTCGTAAATTAGTCTCATAAGTGAAAAATTTTCGCTGTTTTAGTCCTCCGGCGCCGGAGATGTCCGCGTGGTTTGCCGGAGGTGACGTGTCCGCCAGGTGTCGCTGACCTGGCGGACACGTGAATTTTTTAATTTTTTTTAATTTTTTTAATTTTTTTTAAAACTTATTTTTAATTTATTTAAAATTTTATTTGTATATATATTTTTTTATTTGGTCCAATTAAAAAAAATTAAAAAAATTTAAAAAAATGAAAAAAAAAATAAATCTATGTGTCTACTAGGTGTCGCTGACCTGGCGGGACACCTGGCGGACACATCACCTCCGGCGAGCCACACGGGCGTCTCCGGCGCCGAAGAACTAAAACAGCGAAAATTTTTCACTTATGGGACTAGTTTGCAATAGGCTCCACTTACATGACTAAAATGATAAAGGGGTTCAGTTACGGAACTAAAAAAACAGTTTACCCAAAATAAATTATTGATCAATTATTTATTTATTAAAAAAAATTATTTAAGATATTTTTTATTTTTTATTTTTGTAAAACGTGCATAATTTAGGTCTTTATTTAGAACCGAACATCAGTTTTGAACAATAGAGGTATTTCGTGCAAATTTTATATTAATAGAAGGGGATTTCACGCAATAAATAAAACACATGGTATTTTATGCATTTTTACTAAAACATAAAATAATGTTATATAATTTACTCTTTATAGGATGGGTAATGATGGATGTGTGGTCAATATTGTACCACAATATTTATACATATTAGCTACGTAGCAACTATATAATTAATATCAAAAAACATCCACGTAGTTCATTCATAGGAATTATGTATCACAACACTCTCCCTTAGATACTTTTATACAAAAAAATGTATATTGCTAAAACCTTATTGAGAAAAAACTTTGTAGGAAAAAAAATCCCAGTGAAGAAAAAGAGAACACTATTTTTGTATTGATTCGCTCCTCCTGATTTGGACTTTACTTGAGATCTTTAAGTTGACGCAATCCAATTTTTTTTCTCAATTTGTTGAATGTTGTTGTCGGTAGATCCTTGGTTAATAAATCTGCAAAATTATCAGATGATCGGATTTGTTGTATATTGATTTCACTATTCTTTTGTAGGTCATAAGTAAAGGAAAATTATGCGTAAAATATATTTTGTTATATCTTCTTTGATATATTCCATTTAACTGAGCAATGCAAGTTGCATTGTCTTCATATAAAACATTGTCTCCCCGAATTTGACAAATACCAACTAACAACCCTAACTGCATGAGCAATGTCCGGTCTCGTGCACACCATCGTATATATGAGGCTACCAACTGCAGATGCATAAGGGACTTTAGTCATATCTTTCTTTTCTTTGTCTGTTCTCAGAGACTGATCTTTGGTAAGCTTGGCTTCCCAAAGGTGTGTTTCTCGGCTTAGTCTTCTCACTATTTATGTTGAACTCCTCTAATACTTTTCCAATATACTTTTCCTGAGATAGTGTCAGAGTGTCATCCTTGTTTTTTATTATACTCATCCCAAGTATCTATTTGGCTGGACTTAAGTCTTTCATCTCGAATGCCTCATACATCTGTTGCTTTAACTTATTGATTTCTCTAATATCTGCACCGACTATCAATATATCATCCACGTAGGGAAGTAGAATGATGTAGGAACCTTTAAACTTCTTCACGTAGCAACAATGGTCCATTTCACATCTCTTGTACCCCGTTCTCATCATGAAGTTGTCGAACTTCATGTTCCATTGCTTGGGGGCTTGTTTTAGACCATATAAGCTCTTCTTCAGCTTGCAGACCCAATTCTCTTTACCAGCAACTTGAAACCCCTCAGGTTGTATCATATAGATATTCTTATCGTGATCTCCATGTAGAAATATTGTCTTAACATTTAGCTGCTCTAGATGTAAGCCTTCTGTAGCTACAATACTCAAAACCAATCTGATAGTGATGGAGAGAAGATTTCAGTGTATTCTACTCTTTTTTTTTTTTTTTTTTTTTTTTTTTTTTTTTTTCTGTTGAAATCCTTTAACCACTAAGCGGGCTTTATACCTTTTCAACCCATCTGGTTCATCATTGATTTTGAATACCCATTATTTTGAAACGCCTCATTGTCATAATGAAGTTTATTCAAAATCCATGTCATGTTTTTGTGCAAGGAACTCATCTCTTCTTTCATGGACTGCTCCCACTAAATCGAATCATTATGCTTGACTGCTTCATGATAACTTTCTGGTTCACTATTTTCAGTCAAGAAGAGATAGTTTACGCTAGGATCATATCTCGCTGGAGGTTTGGTGACTCTAGTGGATCTCCTGACCCATTGTGACTCGGCTGGCTGCGGCTGCACATGTGAAGGGAGAGGTCCTTCATCCTTCGAACTTTCATTGTCAACAAAGTCCCCTTGATTTCCTTCAAACTCATCCGTATTGGATTCATTCTTCTGACTCTAAATTGTCTTGAGGACCCATTGACCCTCTGGTTCTGATAACATCATTGTTAAACTCAACTTGTTCTTTCGCAACCTTCGGACTTTGTGTGCTTTTGTCTATAAAAAGTTCAGCTTTATTGGATTTGACATGCTTGCTTTTGAAAACCTTTTTACTTTCAAAGTCCCATAGCCGATAGTCCATCTTGTCTCCTCCGTATCCAATGAAGTGTATTTTCTGGCTTTGGCATCTAACTTGTCACCATCTCTTATCAGATCATAAGTACTGCATCCGAACACTTCAAGTGTTCATACTTTACTACTTCTCCTTTCTACTTTTCCTCGGGTTTCTTGAAACTCAATGGCACTGATGTTCCTCACTTGATAAGATACACAACAATGTTAACTGCATTGGCCCAGAACGTCTTTGGAAGTCCAGTATTCAGTCTCATGCTTCTGGCCCTCTCATTCAGTGTTCTGTTCATCTTTTTTGCCACTCCGTTATGCTGAGGAGTACCCGAGACAATCTTGATCATCCAGATCCCATATTCAACACAATACTCGGTGAACTCTGTGTTAATGTATTCACCTCTATTATCCGATTTCAAGCACTTTACCTTCAAGTTAGTTTCTAATTCAATAATAGTCTTCCATTTCTTAAAAGTATTAAAAACTTCAAACTTATTTTTAAGAAAATAGACCTATACTTTCCGCGTTGAATCATCGATGAATGTTACATAGTAGTTTGATCCACCAAAGTTAAAGACTATTGTTGGTCCATAGACATTAGAGTGAACCAATTCCAACTTCTGAGTTTTCAATGTCTACCCCGTTTTTGCAAAAGAGACTTTCTTCTTCTTGCCAAGCACACAGGTCTCACAAAACTTGGAATCCACCATCTTTATATATGAAAACTTCTCTCTTGCGACAAACATCTTCACTCCTTTTATGCTATTGTGGCCAAGTCGTTGGTGCCACAAAACAGACGGACTTTGCTTGCTAGTTACTACATTCGTTTAATTTTCAGAGACATTGGTCATGTATAGTGACGAGGATGTTTATA